TGATGAGTTTGAACCACCAACTCTGTGGTTCACAGTCCAGTGCTCTATCCCACAGTGCCACACCAGGAGTCTATATAGTTATAAATATGTGTATACATTGAGGAATCCTGATGTGGTGTTGTAGGATGAGGCACTGAACTACAAACCGTAAGGTTGGTGGTTCAAACCCAGCAGCCGCGCCTCAGAAACCCTACACAGGGTTGCTGTATAGTACGAGTATAATAGCTTTTTTGATTTCTGTGTAGGGTTTCTGAGGAGTGACTGGTGGGTTTGAACTACTGACCTTGCGGTTCAAACCAACCTTGTGATTGAGTGCTTATCCTTAGGCACCACACTAGGACTCATAGTTGTGAGTAACTCAAGTTTCTCATAGTAACTTTTCCCTTTGCTGATTTTAATCTGTATCCTTTCACTGGAATAAACAAACAATTGTTATACTCATGTTGTTGTTATTGTTGAGTGCTGTCAAGTCAATTCCAATCCATAGTGACCCTGTATAGGGTTGCCAAGGAGCAGCTGGTGAGCTTGAACCGTCGACCTTACAGTTCAGACGGCTTTGCAGTCTGGTGCATTAACCCACAGTGCCACACCAGGACTCCTAGACGCTGTTTATTCCAGTGAAAGGATACAGATTAAAATCAGCAAAGGAAAAAGTCGCATAATGCAAACTCTAGGAGAGTTGATCACACTGTGAAGAGTTGATCACACTGTGCTTAATTATCCCAGCAGTAATGTGTGACAACACATATTAAGTATTGCTAACCTAGGGTTCTCACCAGAGTACTGGTGTCCAGGGTGTCATTGTGGGTCAGTCACAGAAGCTTAGTGCATCCACATGACTAACCTAGACTAAGAGGTCAGATCAGTATAATGTTGTGCAGACCTCAGATGAATAAAACGAAGGTACTCACTATGTTGTTGGTTGGTTAGTTATGTGCCGTGGAGTCGGTTCCGACTCATAGTGACCCTGTACAGGATTTCCGAGCCTGTAAATCTTTACAGTAGCAGAAAGCATCATCTTTCTCCCATGGAATAACTGGTAGTTTCAAACTGCTGACCTTGCAGTTCGCAGCCCGATTCGTAACCACTACGCTACCAGAGTTACATGCCTATCAAGTTGGGTATGAACCATAGTGACCTTATGCAGAATATATGTCCTGCACCATCCTTATTATCGTTAAACTTGAGCCCATTGCTACTACCATAGCTAAAATGAAAAATACTGACCATATTAAGAGTTGATGAGAATGTGGAAAAATTTGAATACTCCCACAGCTGATGGGAATGGAAAATGGTATAATCACAGGAAAACTGTGTGTATATATGTGTGTGTGAGAGGGTACTTCAGAAAGTTCATGGAAAAATTCTAATATCTTTTAACTCAATTTTCCATATACTTTTTCAAGCTTCTCATGTGGTATGTTTGGATTTTGTTCTTTTGCAAACTGTGCAGCCCCAATGTGTGGTTTCATGTGTACACTTTTCATGTTGTGTGTGGATGCCTTATGTGTGAAACATACAGTATTTATATAACATTCTAAAAAACGCAGAGGAAGGTACAGTGATGGAAAGCAGACCAAATCAGTGGTTATGGGAGAGAAGTGAGTGGTAGGAGGAATAAAGGATGAATTATCAAGAGACACAGACTTTTGGGGGATAATATTTTATCTTGATTGTGGCAGTGTTTTATAGGTGTATACAGATGTACTCATCAAACTGTGCACTCTTGTTGGGTGCCATCAAGTTGGTACTTTCTTCTGGCTACATAATGTATAACAGAAAGAAACACTTCCCAGTCCTCTCAATCGCTGCCGTGTTTGAGCCCAGTGTTAAAGCCACTGTGTCAATCCATCTCATTGAGAGTCTTTCCTCTTTTTCACTGACCCTCTAAAATTATTTTCCATAGGCTGGTCCCTCCTGATAACATAATTCAAAGTATGTGAGATGAAGTTTTGCCACCCTTGCTTTTAAGGTGAATTCTGGCTGTACTTCTTCCAAGACAGATTTATTCTTCTGGCAGTCTGTAATATATTCAATATTCTTCACCAACATCTTAATTCTCAGGCATCAGTTCTTTGGTCTTCCTTATTCCTTGTCGGAATTTCACATGCCTGTGAATCCATTGAAAACATCATGGCTTGGGTCAAGCACACACCTTAATCCTCAAAGTGACATCTTTGCTTTTCTACACTTTAAAGAGGTCTTTTAAAGCAGATTGGTCCAATGCAATATGTTGTTTAATTTTTAACTGCAGCTTTTATTAATAAACTACATTTATTATGTATGCAAGTAAAATGAAATACTTGAAACTTCAATATTTTCTCTATTTATCATGATTTTGCTTATTACTCTAGTTAAGGATTTTCATTTTGTGTTGAAGTATTGTTGCTGTTGTTAAGTGCCGTCGAGTCGGTTCCGACCCATAGCAACCCTGTACAGGATTTCCGAGGGTGTAAATCTTTACGGGAGTAGAAAGCCTCATCTTTCTCCTGCGGCATGGCTGGTAGTTTCAAACTGCTGACCTTAAGACATTAAATGTGTGTGCACACTGTTTACATTGTATGTGATCTTCATCAGTAAGTGCTTCAAGTCCTCTTTCAGCAAGCAAGATGTGTCATCTACATATAGTAGGCAGTTATACAGGTTCCACCTGAATACGATTAAGTGTTTTGGAATTCTCATTCTTTGCCATCCATAATTTGTTGTGATCCACACAGTTGAATGCCTTTGGGTAGTCAGTAAAGCACAGGTATTTGTTTATTTCTGTTTTCAGTCAAGATCTGTCTGCCATCAGCAATGATGCTCCTAGTTCCATGTTTTCTCCTGAATTGTTGCTGGATACTGTCTAGTCTGTTCCAACTCATAATGACTCTGTGCACAACAGAATGAAGCACTGTCCAGTCCTGGCCCTCCTCACTGTTGTTGTTATGCTTGAGTTCATTGCTGCTGCCACTGCCAATCCATCACATTAGAGAGCTTCCTTTTTTCCGCTGATCCTTCCCTTTACCAATCATGATATCACTTCTGAAGATCGAGCTTGAATTTCTGGCAACTTCTTGTCTATGTACTGTTGCAACCATTTTTTAACTACATCAAAATTTTACTTACAACTAATACTAATGATATTGTTAGATAATTTCCACATTCTGTTGGATCACCCTTCTTTGGAACAAACACGAATATGGTTCTCATCCAGCTGGGTTGACTAGGTAACTGTCTTACAGATTTCTTGGAGTAGACAAATGAATGCTTCATGTTGCATTCATTTGTTTTGAGACATTTTGGTTGGTATTCTATCTATGCCTGAAGACTTGTTTTTCCCAGGGCTCTCAGTACAGCTTGAATTTCTGCCTTCAGTGTCATTGGTTCTTGGTCATCGGCTGTTACCTGAAATAATTGAACATTGACCATTTATTTTTGGTACACGATTCTCTATTCCTCCCATCTTTTGATGCTTCTTGTATCCTTCAGTATTTTGCCCATGGAGTCCTTCAATATTGCAACTCTAGGCTTGAGGGTTTTTTTCTTTAGTTCTTTCGTCTTGAAAAATACCAATCATGTTCTTTCCTTTTGGTTTTCCATCTCCAGGTCTTTGAACATTTCATTATAATCCTTTACTTTAAAGCCTTCTATTCAGGTCTGCTACTTAATTTCTTCTATTTGCTTTAGCTATTCTGCATACAAGAACAAGTTTTTGATCTTTTCTTTCCTGTTTTATTAATGGCCTTTTGTTTTCTTCATATATAATGTCCTTTATGTCATCTCAACTCATTTGGTCTTCAAGTTGTTAGTGCTCAATGTGTAAAATCTGAGATGGTCTCTAAATTCAGGTAGATATCTTGATCTTTTTTTTTTTTAATCAATTTCAGATTGTAGAAGTTGGTAAAAATTTTCAATTTCTTCATCTTTGGCATTAGTGGTTGGTGTGTAGATTTGATTAATAGTCTTCCTTGAAGGCATATGGACATTATCCTATCTCTGACAGTGTCAGGATAGATCTTAAACTGTTCTGTTTGACAATGACTGCAACACCATTCCTCTTCAATTTGTCATTCCTGGCATAGTAGACCATGTGATTGTCTGATCCAGAATGAACAATACCAGTCCTTCTCAGCTCACAATGCATAGTATATAGACCTTTATACAATCCATTTCTTTGATAACTTCCAGTTTTGTTACATCCATACTTAATACATTCCACATTTTTATTTTTAATTACTGTTTTCAGCTATTTCTTTGATTTTTGAGTCATGCCACATCAGCCAACATAGGTCCGAAAAGCTATACTCTAGTCATGCCATTAAGGTTGACTCTGCTTTGTAGAGGCAACTCTTCCCCAGTTGAATTTTGAATGCTTTCCAACCTAAGGAATTCATCTTCCTTCACTAAATCAGTATACTTTAAATATGTGTAATTTAATGTAAGTCAATTATACCTCATTGAAGTTGTGGTGTGGTGCTGTGGGCTAAGCACCAGACTGCTAACTGCGAGGTTGGCAGTTAAAACCCACCTGCCACTCCTTGAAAAGCCTATACAGGGTCGTTATGGGAGTCGGAAATGACAGTTGTATAAAAGTTATATTTTAAAAAAATGTCTTATTATTTAATCAAGCCTCGGTTTCCAATTTGTGAAGTAAGAGTGTACCTACCTCATAGTATTTATTTAAAGATTTTATGTATAAATTGTTTTGCTGTGGTACCTGATGCACAGCAGGTGACTCAATCAATGGTAATTCTATTCTACCATCCCCTGCCTCTTCTATGGGACTGAAAAGATAGTGATACTTTCAAATTACCACCTTGATGCATTTAACAAAGTCTGGTTGATTCATTCTCTCTCAATACCTCTTAATAGCTGAGTAGGTGAAAGTTTCAGGATTTGGGTAAATAGGCCTGCTTCTCATGCTAATGAAAACCTTTCTTCTCCTGAAAATAGTGACTTCTAGATCATGACATGACTTGACAAAGTTTAATTTTGCTTTTCCATTTTTTCTCCCACAGGGTTTATCCATGGCTTAGAGGACTAGGTTATACGTCCTTAGGTATATTTCTGTTGGGATTTTTATTATGGAACATAGATAACATCTTTTGTGATTCACTGAGGTAAGATAGTTTCATTCCTTGAGAAATGTTTTAGAAGCATTTTATTACATTGGTGGTGGTATGTGCCATGGAGTCAGTTCCAACTCACAGCTACCCTGTACAGGAACAGAAAGGCCCACCTTTCTCCCACAGAGCAGCTGGTGGATTTGAACTGCTGACCTTGCAGCTAACACTACATAATCAGGGCTCTTTATAGAAATGTTACTGCCTTGAAATTAATTTTTACCATTGTAATTGTAAAATAAAGTTAAATTCAGGAAATACCTATTTCAATGACTTAAAGTTCGGACCTGAGAATATTTAATAACATTTGTAAAATTCATATTTTCTTCCAGTTCATTACAGAATTAGAGTTAATCAAATATTGACTAGATCTTTAAAACCTAGTTTTTTTTAATAAAAATAATTTGTAATTAGTAAATGAAGTACATGTAAACAAATTTGAACCTAAATATGTTTAATGTTATTTGCCAAGAAGGGTCAACATTCTTATTACCATCTTGTCAGCAATTATATACTGACAGGAGTTTTAATCTTGGATTTGGTCTCTGGACCCTAGTCAGCCACTAAAGAAAGTACTTTAATCTTTCTAGGCCTCAATTTCCATAAAATGAATGTGTTAAGTAGGTTAAACTAAAGAGTTCTTCCCCACTGAAAATCCTGTGACCCAGCAGTTTTGTATAAACACTGAGCATATTAAACACCACCACAGAGAGGCAATCAACAAAATTCAGACTATAGAAAATTTGAGATAAATAACAAAAATGTGTAGATATAAAATGCTGTATTACTTGAATAATTCAGTTTAGAGGAGGAACAGCCTATTAAAAATAAACAAGATTGGTCATGAGATGATACCTTTTGAAGATGATTGGTTGATCAATACATTTATATTACACACTTTACTTTTATATATATTTGAAATTTTTCTATGTTTGTTGTTGTTTTAAGTGCTGTTGAGTTGATTGTAACCCTATATAGGGTTTCCAAGGAGCAGCTGGTACGCTTGAACCACTGGCCTTGCAGTTCAAAGGACTTTGCAGTCTGATGCATTAGCCCTCAGCGCCACACCAGGCTATGACTACCTGACATTATATAATTCTGGTACATACATGAGAGGATAAATAAAGAATTGCTATAAAATTAATAGAAATCTTCATTAAACAAAAACATCAAAATGTGAAGGTATTGTTTCTCATATCCTCCATCTAGGACAGTATGTTGTTGTTGTTGTTAAGTACCATGGAGTCATTTCCAACTCATAGCGACCCTGTACAGGATTTCTGAGGCTGTAAATCTTTACAGGAGCAGAAAGCCTCATCTTTCTCCCGTGAAACGGCTGGTAGTTTCGAACTTTGACCTTGAGATTAGCAGCCCGATTCGTAACCACTACGCTACCAGAGCTCCTTAGGACAGTATACTTCTAACAAAAAGCAGAGTCCTATCTAACCTTTTCCCAAAGAATTCTAATGCTTGATTTTTACACCATGTGAAAACAGTAGTTTTGGTGTTACTGAGGGACTTAAATCATGTTCCTTTTAAATGTTCTTTGAGTTTGGGGAAGAAAAAGAAGTCTGAAGGGGCTGTAGAATGGATTGGAATAAGGTTTCCCATTGAAATTCTCGTAGGTCAACCCTTGCTACCCACAAAGAATGAGCAGGTGCATTATCACGATGGGGAAAACATCCTCAGCACAACTTTCCAGGCTTTTTCCTCTTCAGTGCAATTTTCAATTTTATATAAGTTCATAATAAGCCCCTGTGACCATCCTATGTCCGTCAAGAAAATTTATTGGGATTAACCTGTTGGAATCCCCAAAAATAGCCACCATAGCTTCTTTACCTTCAACTTAACTGGTCTAACAGATGCCTGTAGAAGCCACTGTTTTGAATAGATCTTGCTTTTCTTTAAGGCACCATAAGGTGACTAGGAGTCCTGGTGTGGCTCTGTGGGCTAATGCATCAGACTGCAAAGTTGTTTGAACTGCAAGGTCGATGGTTCAAGCTCACCAACTACTCCTTGGAAATCCTATACAGGGTCGCTGTGGGTCAGAAGCGATTCAGCGGCACTTAACAACAACAACAGGGTGAATAAGACAAGTTTATTACTGAGAGAAATTGTCTGTAGGCATCCACTGATGAGAGAGACATGTTTAAACATGTCTTGTTTGGAATAAACCCATGCGTATATGAGTCGGAACTGAGTCGACAGCGTTGAACTGGAACCATAATAGGCATAGTTTCTGACTTACCCTTGTACATCTCATGTTTTAGACGTACATTTTAAAAAGTAAAGTGGAACTCATTTAAAAATAAAGTAAGTGTGCTATTAGCATCTTTGAGAAACAGAAATATTCTGATTTAGATGTAGTCTTTAATACAGAAATAATTATAATGCAACAAAATATCTGAAATTTGCTTCAAAATAAGATGAAGAAGGGTTGTAGGTGATGCAGATGGACTGTAAGTGAACAACTATTGAAGCTGGGTAATGGGTGCGTTGTTTTCTGGTCTGTTTTGACACATGTTTGAAATTCCCATTATAAAAAGTTCAGTAAATGTGAACAAACAATTTAATACCGCTAACTTAGAAAACTAAGATCTAAGGGAGCTTTTTGCATTGACTGTTAGTGCTATTGAGTCGGTTCTGACTCATATGCAACCTGTATAGGGTTTCCAAGGAGCAGCTGCTGGGTTTGAATGGCCAACTTTGTCGTTAGCAGTCCAGTGCTTATCCTACAGTGCCATACCATCCCCTGGTGAGACCCATTAACCAATCTAGCTTAAGAAACAAAGTAGAATTTAGAGATGGTATTCTCCTAAAAAAAATCCTTAGATAATCTAGAAAAATAACTTGGTGTTTCATATTGGTTTTTACTCCTCTAATAAATGAGCTTTAAATGCTATATACTTAACCCAAAGATCTAGAATTTGAGACTCACTTATTCAACTAGCAAGTAACTTTGACAACTCAGTCCCTAAATTTTAGGCTCTTGATCTGTAAAACCGTGTTAATAGTGTCCTCAAAGAATCACTGACTATGTTTTGAAATCATAGGTGTAAGAAAGGACTTTATAGACTCTGTGGTATTGAACTGAGGTGATAGTTAATGTATAGGGCATAAAAGAGGCCTGTTACCTAGAAAAAAAAGCATTCCACAGATTAGTATGTTACCTAGAAAACATTTAAGATAAACTGTTTTATTTATGGAATGACTTCAAAACCCTTAATCTGTTAATATGTATTATATTATTGCCTCTCTAAGAGGTCAGTAAACTATATACTTTTTTCAACATTTATTTGATCACAGAGTCCTTTCTTCATGGAACATCTGCTAAGACTACTAGAAGTATACACTTTGGAAAACAATACAGCAGACTATAAATATCTTAACTAGTCTTGAGAAAGTTAAATAATTGCTATATTTGAGAATGACAGACTTTTCAAAATACTCCAAAACTATAAGCGTTCATTGTTATATGCATTTTTTTCCTTTTCACCCAGGAACTTCCGAAAGAAGATGCCTCCCATCATAGGTGTTGCCACACAATTTCATGCATGGTGGCATATTTTAACTGGTCTTGGCTCTTATCTTCACATCCTTTTCAGGTAGGAAGTAGAGACTTTCATAGCTAAGTATTAGTGGGGTTTGCTTTGCTCTTCAAATAGGTTGGCATAAGAAACAATGAAAAAAAAATCAAGAAAAGGTTTTCATATTAAAAGAAACACTCTTTGATAGTTACCAGGGGTAACAGGGAGGAGAGAGTAATTCACTGGCTAGAGGGTCCACATATGTTAACTTGGGTGACAGGAAAGGGAATGTACAAGAAGAGCGAGGTTGTCAGAAAAGTGATGAAGACACAGGGAGGAATATAAAAGTTAAAGAGGATAAAAGTAAATACTTCTATAGCCATAACACTGCAACAAGAGTGTTCTCTGGGTATATACTTAAGATAAATACACAGACTGAAAGGGTATGTGAGGGAGAGTGGGAGTATACCCTCAAATCTATAAAGGTTTGACAGAGATATTTAGTTTATGAGTATTTACCTTTGCTGCAAACACACCTATGAAAGTGGTAGAGCATGTTGTTATGTGCTGTAGAGTCGATTATTGGAATCAATTAGTCTGATGGACTAATGGAACTTGTGACCATGAGTCTCCATGACTCTGTGACCAGAAGAACTAGATGGTACCCAGCTACCACTACCAACTGCTCTAAAAGGGATCACATTAGAAAGGTCCCAGATAGAGCAGAAGAAAATGTGGAACAAAACTCAAACTTATTAACAACAACAACAGCAACAAAAAAGACCAGGCTTACTGGTCAGAAAGCGACTGGAAGAAACCAAGATTATGGCCCTTGGCGACCCTTCAGGTGTAGAAAGAAACTCACCCTTGTGAACCAATTTTCAGCCAAGTGGTAGATACATATATGTCCCAAGGGGGACAACACTTGTAAGTAATGCTCACCATTAAATGGTAAACCATTCAATATCTAAAGGGCAGCATTTAAAAATAAAAGTGGGGGGCGGGGTGGAGGCCGGGACAGCATTTACCTAAGGACAAAGTGGAAATAAGAACTACAGGGAGGAAGTTGGGTAGCTATTGTTACATGCAGGGGATTGCAATCATTGAAATGAAACAAAGTGTTTAATTTGCTGAATGTAAAAGTGACTGTCTTCTCTATAAACCTTCACTCAATTCACAATTAAAAGTTTCAAAAAGAAAAAGAAATGATGAAATAAAAAGAACTGAACTGAGGATTTCAGTGGGAAGCATAAGAAAATATAATATTATGGTGAAATGTGAAAAGACCTGAGTTAGAAAACTTAAAGGGAAAATTATGATAAACATTTTTCAAGCTAAAAGAACTGAAGTGAAAACTCAAGACTCAAGTTGAAATACTGAAGGATTTTATGGATAACAATTGAATGATGCAGGAAGCATCAAAAGAAGATGAAAGTAACATGAATGAACCTTTTGCTGAATGAAATTAGTTACAAAAGGAGAAATACTGCATAGAACCGTTATTATAAAGATTAAGAAAAAGTACCCACACTAAAAGGGGGGAAATTCTTTCCTGGTTACTGGGGTGCGTGGAGTGGGGTGAGGAGAGGGAAGAGAAGGTAGAGTACAGGGTAGGGAAGAGACACAGGATAATTTGGTTGCTGGGGAGGGGGCAGTACACCAGAAGGGGGAGGGGAAAGAAAGAACAAGGCAGATGGGAGAACACTTAGGCTAAGTGGGACAGAGGTAAATAATGATGTTTGCACAACCTTGGAACAACAGGGCTCTGGGATACAGGGATTAGGGCATGGTTGGAATGGGTAAAAGGGGGAAAATAATGTTAAGATGCTTGTCTGTCTTTTGAATTTGGTTTCCCCTTACCTAATATTGTAAAATAGACACTTGAAGGGGAGAGAAAGGAATAGCCAGAAACATCACCATAGAAAGCTTGTAAGTCCATCTTCAGCCTGTAACTGATTAGAATACCTAAACAGGGGCTAGAACTTGCCCAGTGAAGGAGGCTTCCTGTGAAGCCTTCGCATTGCATAAGACCATAGGTGGAATCCTGATCCCCATCCAGAATTTTCTGAGGTGGAAAATTTCCATTTGAAAGGACAAGCAGACCAGCTTGGAGCAGGTAGAAGAACAGAAGATACCTCTTGAAAGAAAGACCAGCAGGAAAAATAAAAAATAATAATGGCAGTCTGATAGACTACTACAAGAACAAGCAAGTTGGTTGCCCGGGAGCCATCAGGGCAAGTGGTCAGGTACTCTAGGTCAAACCCCCTTCTAAGACTAAGATTCAGAACAAACAAGATGGTGGATAGGGTAGGAGTGCAGTGAGGATCTCCATCAGCAACAACACAGAACACTGGACCAAGAAGGATCGGGATAACCAAGAACTCTGAACCATATATAAAGGAATATTTAGAAAGTTTGAAGGCTTACAACCAGTGGAATTTGTAGCAGAAGCAAGAAATCCAGTGCTTTCTAATCCAAGGCACTCAGCTGCTCCCGGAGCGGCCATCTTGGGCGAGACCAAGTAGCCATCCTGGGCAAGGCCGAGTGGCAGAAGGATCGGAGCAGCTACGTATGCCTGACTGATACACAGAGATAAAAGTGTGGACATTATTATTTTTATTATTATTATTATTGTACCTGTTCATTGGTCTCTCATGGCTGTACAACTCCATTCTGGTGACTAGAGGGGGTGCCTAAACGAGTGGACACCCCAGCCCCACCCTCAGAGGGTTCTACTATGCATTCATGCAGATCTCCTCAAAATTTAAAGGAACAATAACCACTTAAAACCAAATGGCAATGCAAAATGGCCACTGCCGGCCCTGAACTGTTTGTTACTAGGAAAAAGGCCTGAACTGGGGTTGTGGAGCAGGACAGGCAGACTAAAAAGGAAACAGGCCAAATATTAAATCCTTAGTTAACGTCATAATGACCAACAGTGACATCTTGAAATTTCTCAGGTGACCTTGGAGGCAAGAAGCTGAAAGAGGACATTAAAATCATACTCATATTAAGCTTTGTTGTTGTTGTTGGTAAGTGCTGTCGAGTCGGTTCTGACCCATAGCGACCCTGTATAGGGTTTCCTAGGAGCGACTGATGAGCCTGAAGCGCCGACCTTGCAGTTCAAATGGCTTTGCAGTCTGGCGCATTAACCCACAGTGCCATACCAGGACTCCATATTAGGCTAGGTTATAAGTTTTTTTTCCTCTCTTGCTTCTTTTGTGCGATTATAGACTACAGCATCCAATTTTTCTTTTTTTTTTTGCTGTTGCTGTTGTGTTTTTTGGTCCTCTGTTTACATTTAGGGGGCTTTTTCTCTCCATACATTACCCAAGAAGAGCAATTGCTGTCATATAGTCAAGCTACAGTCACACCCTATTAAATCCCACAATCCAAACAAGAACCGATACCAGCTGCCATACACGTTTACTCTGCGACAGTTACTCTGAGTCAAGTAATAAAAAGAGTGAAAGGGAAACCCAGCTCCTGATCACATCTACCTCAAGGCAATCAGAAAGCATAAAAAACACCAAAACATACACTCAGTTAAATATTAAGGTCACAGCTAACTACTGAATATGCCCAAGAAACAGAAACAGATGACCATATCAGCACATGTCCAGAAACGAGATAAAGTGACTGAAACAAATGAGCTGGAGGTAGACCTACTCCATACTGGAAGGGGAGCAGGCTTTAGAACTGCTTGAGAAGGAATTCAGAAATATGATTATAAAATGTATCAAAACCCTTTAAAATGGAGTTGAGAAAAATAAGGAAGAAATCGGGAAAGTGCTATAGGAACAATCAAATAAGATAGATACAGCAATGTTGACTGTCTTTTGAATTTTGGTTTCCCTGGCATAACATTATAAAATAGACACTTGAGGGGGAGAGAAAGGAATAGCCAGAAATATCACCATAGAAAGCTTGTAAGTCCGTCTCCTACCTATAACTGATTGGAATACCTAAAATGGGACTACAACGTGCCCATTGACGACGCTTCCTGTGGAGCCTCTGCATTACATAAGACCATAGGTGGAATCCTGAGCCTCACCTAAAATCTTCTGAGGTGGAAAATTTCAACTTGAAAGGACAAGCAGACCAGTCTGGAGTGACTAGAAGAACAGAAGATACTTCTTGAAAGAAAGACTGACAGGAAAAATACAAAACAATAACAGAAGTCCAACTGCTTACTACAAGAACAAGCAAGTAAGTTGCTTCCCACATCAAGGCAAGTGGTCAGGTCCCCTCAGGACAAACCCCCTTCCAAGAATAAGACTCAATGTGAATAAACAAGCAGACATGCACTCTGATTGGTGACCACGTTCGTCACTGATAAGGGCAAGTGGGGAAAACAGCAATGAAGCTGCGAGCTAAGCCCTACAATGTTCAATACACTCCTGTGAACCTGGGTGGAGACTTGGTTGGCCAGCAGTGTGGCAAGACATGGGACTCTTGGGCCCAGAGTCAGTGACATAGCCACAGAGTACTAGAGTGGAGAGTGAAGCATCCAGCTGATAAGAAGAGAGGGCATATGCATAAGAACATCCACACTTGCAGATAATACCCACTCGACCTGGCTTCAATGACTGGATGATCAGAGCTCAACCAGAAGAAGAAAGAAGAGGGAAAAAAAAGAGTAATCTGTTACAGTTTGATGAACTTGACCTACATCTGTGGATGCAGTAGCTCAAAAGAGGGAACAAATCTTTACAGTGAGGATCATTCCCACCCTCTCTATTCACAGAGTAGACAGGGATGGGCAGCTTGGACATTAGCTACCCTAAATGTGGGGTGCTATAAAGGCAAGAAGTGACTGGTTTACAAACTTTCAAGAGGGAGCCTAGATCCAGAGGGCATGGAGGAAGGTAGAATCTCCACTGAGTAGTATCCCATCTGTCTGGGCGGGGCTAATGAAAGGAGATGGGGATAGGTCCCTTGTGGTACAATGGTGAATAATTGTTATCAGGACTGACTGCAAGGATTGGGAGTGTAAAGGTAGATGTTTTGTAGCAAAAGGAGGGGAGTGATTGACTATGTAGTTCAGGAGCCGAGGTCCCTGGAACCATCAAGTGAGA